TACCTATGACATTTTTACACATATGAAGATTTTCTGAACTTCCCACCAAACAAAAAGTGAGTTTCTAAGAAAGCCTCATCAAGCAAACCCGTGGGCAGTAAACATCAGTGGATTTTTAGGGCAAACTCACATGTGTGAGAGCAGAACTGTGCTCCACGGAGATGTCAGTGGCTGGCAGTTTGCATTAGATTGCCAGGCCTTTCTTCTCAGGCACCTTTGGGTGAACTCACATCGTTGCCAACCTCTCTATTAGTAGTCAAATGCTTCAACTGTTTGTACTGTTGTTAGGTGTCAGTAAGTCGTTTCTGACCCCTTGTGATCTTGTGACAACAGAAGGAAACACAGCCTGGTCCTGCACCCTACTCACAAGTTGAGTTAGTTATTTGTGCCAGCCTGGCCGATAATCACATGTGGGGCTAATTGAAAGGCGGAGGGATAAATGGGTGGTGAGCCTCACCTTTCTAGTTCTCGGGTCTCTTGTTTTGTGATGGTTGCGCCGGGGTGCAGCTGCCTTACCAGTTCCCTGCTTCAGCTTGCAAGATTGACTTCCTACAAGACATCCCCAAGGAGAAGCTACATGGACCTATCCCGATGCAGCCCTGGGTGCTGGAGCAGCCGTGTGGAGACCCCTGCTAGTGCTGAGATGCTTGTTCGTTCACTGACTCAGCTTTCCTCCTGCAGTCGGCATCATTGCCTCTGTTTTGTGAGGTGGAGGACTTTGTGGACTGGTGTTGGGTTAATGGGTTAATGTTGGACTTGTGGGCTTGGGCAGCATTGGGTTGGGATGTTTTCGTGATGCACCTTTTCTTTACATAAAACTCTTATACATGAGTCGCTGTGGATTTGTTTCTCCAAAGTACCTAGACTAATACACAAGTGTTCCTATGCTTGAGTCCATTGTTAAAGCCACAATGTCAGTCTGTCTCCTTGAGGGACTTTCTCTTTTCGGCTGCCCCTCCAACTTTACTAAATATGATGTTTTCTCCAGGGACTGGTCTCTCTTGCCAGCATATCCAAAGTATATTAAATGAAGTGTGGTAGTTATACAATCTGTTGTCAATTTGAGAGGATGATGAGTGAAGGGAAGGGATGCAGGTTAGCCTGTCAATCAGGTCACAGCTTGATGACCTCATTTGGAGGCACTATGGAGATAAATAACTCTTTGGAGGCAAGACACATGCTTACTCCCTATGAGACATTTCTGAGAAGAAGCCACATGGAGCTACCCTGATGCAGCCAGAGCCCTGGGAGCTGCAGGGGCCATGTGGAGACCCCTGACAGCATTCAGATGCTTACACCGCCACTGGATCCACAAGACTTCCCACCCACTGGCCTTTGATCTCCCTGCATTCAGTGTCATTGCACGTGTTTCACGTGAGTCTGAAGAGGATGTTATAGATTGATATCGGACATATGGGCTAATATCGGACTTAAGAACTTGATCTGGACCAGGCTGGGATGTTTTCTCAATATTCAATTGCTCTTGGCTATAAAGCTCTTTTGTATACACATGTGAGTGTCTATGGATTTGTTTCTCTAGTCTACCCAAATTAACACACAAAGTCTCACCATCATTGCCTCTAAGGAGAACTCTGGTCATACTTCTTCCAACACAGGCCAGTTTGTCCTTTTAGCAGTCCATGGTACTTTCAATATTCTTCTCCAGTATCACAATTCAAATGCATCAATGCTTGTTTGGTCTTCTTTATTCATTGTCCAACTTTCACATGCATATGAGACAATGGAAATTCTCATGGCTTGGGTCAGGTGCACCTTAGTCCTCAAAGTAACATACTTGCTTTTCAGTACTCTAAAGAGGTCTTGTGCAGCAAGTTTACCTAATGCAACTCATCTTTTGATGAGCACTGACCGTGGACGCAAGCTGCTTCCATGAGCACTGACCATGGATGCAAGCAAGATAAAATTCTTGACAACTTCAACCTTTTCTCTATTTATCATGATGTTAGCTTGGCTCATTTGTACTATGGACCATATTTATGGCCCTGTACATGTACCATTATTACCTATTAGTCCATTTGTACTATATCCTTATAATCCACCATAGTTCCACCAGTCAGCACTAAACTAGTGCCTAGAAGCCAAAACTATAGCTTTGTGAAGTTCTAATAGGTACTTCATCTTTTTAAAACTCGGCTTTCTCCCTTGCAAAATGGATATACTAATTATCCCCCTTCCTGCATTAGCTGTAAGAATTAAATAAAATCATGTATGTAAATATCTGAAATGTTTGCCAGAGGAAATGCTAGCTCTCATTTCTTCTCTCATCCTCGCCCTGTTGCCTCCTAGACCCAAGTGCTTCCTTTTAAAGTCATTAGTAATTAGTGTGATAGCAGTTACAACAAACCAAGCCCAAACTAAGCTCACTGCCATGGCGTTGATTCTGATTTATAGTGACACTACAGGTCAGGGTAGAGCCGCCCCTGCAGGTTTTCAGGACTGTGACTCTTTCTGGGGGTAGTAAGCCTAGTCTGTCTTTCTCCTGCAGCTATACTAAGGAGTGATACACTTCTGAACTACATCATGTTCTTGATGGCTTTAAAGATGTGTGAATCCTTAAATGTAATGATGGTTTGAATCTTGAACTGAGGGTCAAACTAGAATAAAAAAGAATTTAATTGAGAAAGTTAAATGACACTGTAATTTTAAAATTCGAAACTATAAAGTACCAATTAATTATTTTGTTGAGTTGCAGTTGAGAAGTTAAAAAATTAATTCATTAATCTAATTGCCCTGAGTTAGGAAGAATATTTGTAATTTTTTCAGATGAAGGAGGTTACTTTAGGAATAGGTCCAAGTTTTCAGGAGGACTGTCGAATTCTTCAAGTATTCAGATGTTGATAAGGTGCTCTGGGCTCTTTGGTATAGTACTAAAAATATTTAAAATAGTGGAATCCTTTCCCTGGGGCAGGTTCTTCCCTTCAGAGATGAGGATAAACAGAAAAAGAGAAAAACTTCCTTCTATTTTACAAGCTTCAGACCGTATGAAAGGGATGTTGCCAACACAGACTCATGTATGCGTATATTGTCAGATAAGACATTCCCATTATACTAAAAGGTTCTTCAGAGTTCAGATTCCATGGTCATGTGGCAAAATTATCAGTGTTCAGGCCTTTCCATGTCTGCTGCTCCTCACTTCAGCCTCCCTGTCTTGAAGTGACCCAGATCTGGAGATGTGCCAGGCCCACATACCTCACTACACTGTTTTAGTTTCACTTTCCCTATTCCCTTTGCCCAACACCATTCAAACACTACCATGGAAGGCAAGAAGGGGCTCATTCCAACTATACACCACAAGCCAAACCCACTGCCATTGAGACGATTCCAACTCACAGCAATGCGATAGGGCAGGGTAGAACAGCCCCATAGGACTTCTAAGACTATAGTCTTCATGGAAGAAGACTGCCACATCTTTCTCCCACAGAACCGTTGGATTTGCAGCCAAGAGCTTCAGTCTCTGTGCCACCAGGGCTTCTTTGTAGACCATGAAATCTGTGAAGAGTCCATTTCCAGGACGCTCCCCAATATAATACAGCTAATTACTTAGTTCCACTGAGTAGCATTAGTTAGGCAAGTATGGTTGGTGTGTTTTTTGTGGTAGCCTCCTCAGATATAATCAAAGTATTCTGGTGTTGGGGTATGTTCATGAGAAAGGGACAGGCCCCCCAAGATCCACCTGTAGGCAACTGGACACCCCCTTACGGAAGGGTCACGGAGAGGAGATGAGTCAGTCAGGGCGCAGTGTAGCAACGATGAAACATACAACTTTCCTCTAGTTCCTAAATGCTTCCCCTCCCCACCCCCACCTCCACTATCATGATCCCAATTCTTCCTTACAAATCTGGCACAGATGGGAACTGGAAACACAGGAAATCGGGACAGATGATCCCTTCAGGACCAGTGCTGAGAGTGGTGATACCAGGAGGGTGAAGGGAAGGTGGAGTAGAAAGGGGGAACCAATTACAAGGATCTACATATAACCTCCTCCCTGGGGGATGGACAACAGAAAAGTAGGTGAAGGGAGATGTCAGACAGTGTAAGATATGACAAAATAATAATAATTTATAAATTATCAAGGGTTCATGAGGGAGCGGGGAGTGGGGAGGAAGGGGGAATAATGAACTGATACCAAGGGCTCAAGTAGAAAGCAAATGTCTTGAGAATGATGATGGCAACAAATGTACAAATGTGCTTGACACAATGGATGTATGCATGGATTGTGATAAGAGTTGTATGAGCCCCAATAAAATGATTTAAAAAAAAGGGGGACAGGCCACAGAATGTTTGGATGTGGTTGTGGTACATTTTCATTTTTATACTGAAGATGTAATTTTGGCGGGGTACTCTTTCTAAACATAAATATGCAACTTAGATTTCACAGCTTACATTATTAATATTATGTACTTTTGCTGTATCTGGGAGCCCTGGTGACGTAGGGGTTACACACTGGGCTGCGATCCACAAGGTCTGCCATTCAAAACCACCAGCTGCCCTTCAGGAGAAAGACAGGGAGTTCTAGCCCTGTCAACAGTTACAGTCTTGGAAACTCCCTTGGGACAGTTTTACCTTGTCCTATAGGGTCACTATGCGTCGGCATCGATTGGATGGCAGTGAGTCTGGTTTCTGAGTTTTGCCAGATCTAAAGCTAACATTTTCTCTCCATTCTCCTGGTTCTATTGCTATGAATTAGGTCCAACCGAACGGCAGCGAGTTTGGTTTGGATTCTTTAATACTTAAGACGCGTGCTTGACAGAGTCCTACCCAACATAAATGAAACCAAGCTTGTATTGATAGCAACAACCACTTATACATAAGAACATTAAAGCAAAATTTCTAAGGAATTATGCTTATCTTTATGGAAACTTAAGTAATTAAGTAACTAAGAAAAACAAAAACTAAAAGACAGCAAAAATTATTTCTTGGCATGTTAGATGTTGGAGAGAATGCTCCCTTTTCCTAGTAGAGTTGGTTAGCATGCTTACTTAGGGATAAGCTGTTGCCTGCATCCTCACGTTTCATGTTCTTTTTTTTGCTGATTCTCTTGGCATCTTTGGATGCTTTCCAGTTCATTAGAAATTGCCTTTCCATTTTCTTAATTTCTTTTCCATCAAGAAACTCTAGAAAGATACACAGATATTAAGACTGTATTCATGAGAACAACAACAAAAAACCCAGTAAAAATAGTGCTGCTTGCTTTTAAAGGAATTTATTATGATTCCAAGAACCAGTTATTTATAATTATAGGTTTTTCAGTATTATTCAATAAAAACCAATTAGTAATCATTTAAAAATAATACATATAGCATAGATATCTAGATAGGATTATACAGTTTTACATGCCACTGTTTTAGGGCACCTGAACTCCAGTTACACTATGTGCTGAAATATATTTTTCTAAATATCTCATTTAAACAATGTATGCATTTTTATTTTAAAAAGAATAGCATTCATCATAAATGACTAAAATATGATTAAAAAGAAGAGGAGCTAGAAGCTCTGTAATTGCTGTCCACACCCCGCCTTGCTCCATTGCCCCAGACTAGTGCAGAGTCTTCCTGGAGGGTCATGTGTGAGCTACAGTACTTTAAAATCAAAACGTTATCATACGCAGCAAAACAAAGTCATCTAACCTGCTGATTTAAGTAACACTGTGATTATTTTATGGAATAGGAAGTTTTGCATATGAGTACATTTTACAAATAATATGAGACAAAAAATGGTCTTGTATGATAATGGAATTTTTCCATGCACTTTTTGAAGCTCCCTCGTATACAACATGGTAATTTTAAAACATATAATCTAATGCATGCACATTATTATATCCTGGGACCTAAGATAGAATAGGAGACCTAGATAACAGGCCAATTAGGTCTACAAAGCAAACTTTCAGATGGACTCACATTTTGTTCCTTCAAAAAAGTTTAGAGAATTGAGCTTTTCATGATAGGAGGTGGTTGGGTGGCGCAATGGTTTGCACTTGCCTACTAACCTAAAGGTTGGCAGATCAGACTCCTGCTAGTTTTGTGGAAGAGAGGCTGGTGAGCTGCTTTGTAAGCTGTTGTTAGTTGCCATGGAATTGACTCTAACATAGTAACTGTGTTAGTCTGGGTTGACTAGAGAAACAAATCCAGAGACACTCATGTGAGCTTTATATAAAAGAGCAATTGTATATAGAGAAAACACCCAGCCCAGTCCAGATCAAGTCCGTAAGTCTGATATTGGTCATATGTCCGGTATCAGTCTATAAATTCCTCTTCAGGATCACGCAATGCATGCAATGGAAGATCACCGGCTTGTTGTGGAAAGTCTTGTGGTTCCAGTGGCGGTGGAAGCTCTCGTCTCAGCTCTAGTGTGGGGCTCCACGTGGCTCCTCCAGCTTCAGGGCTCTGGCTGGGATCAGCATGGCTCCATGTGTCATGTCAGCAGGAAGCAGAGAGTGTGTGTCCCACCTCCAGGGCGAAGACAAGTTCCCAGAACCCTCAGCAGAAGGCCAGGCTCACACAGAGGCCTCTTTGGCTATGATCTGTTTGACAAGCTAGACTCCAGCCCTTCACACGTTGACAGGAGATTATGTCACTGCCGCAGTAACCCTTTGTGGACAGAGTGGAGCTGCTTCATAGGGTTTTCAAGGTGTCATCTGTTGGAAGCAGATCACCAGGCATGTCTGACAAGAGACACCTCTGGGTGGGTCTGAACCACCAACAGTTGTACCACCAACCAAAAATAATAATTGGAAACTAATGATAGCACATCTTAATAATCTTTTGTTTTCTCTTTCTGAGTGTATGTGTGTATTATAAAATTGGAGTTCTCTATTTATACAGTTTTATATCCCCCATTTTCAGCATTTCCCCATATTGTACTTTGAATACAAGTGGTAATGGTTGGCAGTGTTACATATTATATTACCATAAAATATTGAATTATTCCTGGTTATAGGGCACGTTTATTACCTTTTTAATTATATGAATGCAGATGGCCCTCATTTAATAAAAAGGCTATCTTTCCTAGCAAACTTTGCAGTATAACAATTAAAAAAATTCAATAGTTTTTCTCATCATCCATTTACTGTCTTCCCCTGTATCTCAGAACATAAACACAGCCCAAAAAACCAAACTCACTGCCATCTAAGACTGAAAGTAATCATAATAATAATAATAATAATAATAATAATAATAATGAAACCCCACTGCTGTCAAGTTAATTCCAACCCATAGTGACCCTGTATGACGCCATACAGGGCAGAGTAGAACTGCCCCCTTGGGGCATCATCTTTCTCCTTAGGAGCAGCTGGTGTGTTCAAACTCCTAACCTGGTGCTTAGCAGTTCAGTGCATAACCCACTAAGATACCAGGCTGCCTGCCTTCAGTGAAGGTATTATCTCCTGGACAGCCTAACCCATTGAATTTCCTGCTGACCTTGAAAGTATTAACACCACCACTTAAGTAAGACCTGTAATACAGTGTTACACCCAAAGTATAAAATAATGAAACTAGAATGATAAATTAGAAGTATAATATAAGCTCTTGTAGTTACAGTTATCTCCCTAGCTTGCCTCCTGTTTTTTTTTAGCAGTCTCCAAAGTATAATTTTAAACATCAGGTAAATGTTTTATTCTCATCAAGCGTCTTAGTACTTACAACTTTACGTTAAAGGTAATTCTTTGTTTCATTTTCCCCAACCACTTGTATATACTGTCATCTTTCCAAATTTGTTTGTATTAATAATTGTGTAAGTAATTAACATATGTCTGGATGGGATTTGGGCAATTAATTCATACTTTTTAAACATCTTGTATAAAGAAAAAAAGAATAAAAATTCTGTCTTTACCTACCAAGGTCCAGTCTTCCTCAAGTAAGTGTCCGTGAGAGTGCTGAGGAAGGACTTAGAGACCTGAGGCTAGGTTAACATGACTCCGTGGAGTTGTTAGCAGCTGACCTTTCGGGAGTTGGTAAGGCATTGAATGTGGCATCCTGTGGCAGTGGTTCAGGAGGGCAAGCCTGGGAAGGGGCACCAGATCAGAGACCCATGAAATTTACAGCCTTGCTCCCAACACAAAATTTGCTTCTACTGATGCTCCACAAGCCTAACTTGTGAATTGTTGCAGTTTTCACTCATGAGAGCCCGCGTGTTACCGGCTGAAACAGTGCCATCGGGTTTCCTGGGCTACACTTTTTCAGAAAACAGCTTTCCAGGCCTTTCTTCTGACATACATAGAAAAAAGACTAGAAATGTTCATGGATTTATGATGAGATTGTGGGGCGTATTTATTCTTTTTATACTTCTTGTATTTTCTCTAAATATTTTATTAATAAAATGTTATTAGAATTTACTTTTTAAAATATATTCTATTTATTGAGAAAACAAAGTGCTTCCTCTCACATTTCTTATACTGTCAACTACAGTACTAGATTAAGAGAAATGTTTCTAGAGCCCTGGAAGGTTCTCAGTGATCAGACATGAATTGTATTCTTTTGGCTTACCAAGAGCCCTAAGAGTTGCCTGCAAACCACCAGCCACTCTGTAGGAGAAAGATGAGACTGTTTGCTCCCCCAAAGATTTATAGTCTCTGAAACCCTCCTGCAGGGTTGCTGTGAGCCAGAGTAGAATTGATGGCAATGGTTTGGGTTTGCGTACTAAGAAAATAGTCTGATACAATCGTGTATGCTGGACAATAGAGCAGGGGCTAGGGAGTTGGGAAGAGCAAAGCAGAATCACCAGAGGAGCTTTTAAAAATAAATATACATGACTGCTCTCCCTGTGTACCCTGCTCCCTGCCACTGGCCACGGATGAGCCAAGAGCAGCCGTCTAGTAATTATTCTATAAAAAATGATTTGGATTATACTGATCTGCCCTTTCTCCACAGAGAACCTCTATACTAGCATTATGATTAATCAAGCTCTGAACTTTTAAGTGATTCTGAAATATATATATATATATAATAAATCATGTTATTGGAGGCTCTTACAGCTCTTATAACAATCCATACATCAATTGTGTTAATCACATTTGCACATATGTTGGCATCATCATTTTCAAAACATTTTCTTTCTACTTGGTATCAGCTCCTCTTTTTCCCCTCCTTCCCCCACCCCTACCACCCTCGTGAACCCTTGATAAATGATAAATTATTATTATTTTCATATCTTACACCTTTCACTGTCTCCCCTCACCCACGTTTCTGTTGTTCATCCCCCTCTGGGCCCAAGTGGGGGTGGGGTTAAACATCAATCATTGCGATTGGTTCCCCCTTTGAAATATATTTTTACATCCAAAGACAGCATGCCACAGAATTTCTATACAGGAAACCCTTTCACTAGTCTGAGGCTGAGTAATCTGGGGACTATAGAAGTGCTTTTGCCCATTTCCCCCAGATGAGGCATGCTCAGAGATGTTATTTGTAAGGATTTCACTAAGGTATTTGTCACCCTGCTGCTCCCCTCTCCAATGAGAGGGACTTCTGGGTGTTCTTAAGGTGTACCATTTGGGAAGTATCAGCATTATGCTTTCCTTATCTCGTGCTACTATAGCAGAAATACCACAACAGAATGGATTTAACAAATTAATGTTTTGCTGTTGAGAGGACTGACTGAATGTCTGAATTTAGGGCCCTGGCGCTCAAGAAGGAGCCATAGTGTTTTAGTAGTTATGCATAGAGCTACAATCTCAAGGTCAGCCAGTCAAAACCACTAGCTGCTCCATAGGAGAACGACGGGCTTTCCACTCCCATTGAAGAGTTACAGTCTTGAAAGCGTATAGGGCAGTCTGCCCTGCCCTATGGGGTGCTAGGACTCCATAGCAGAAAGTGTTTTGGGTTTGACAACAAAGTAAGGCATTCTCTCTCTCTCTCTCCTCTGAGGGATGATTCTGAGGGACGTTTCTTATCTCTTCTAAGCTTCTGCTCCTGGGCAATCACCTTTCTGAATCTCTGCTTATGAGCTTGCTTGTTTTGCATCTCAAAAGAGATTGATGCAAGTCCACCCTATACTAACCCTACCTTATTAACATAACAACCCATTCCTTCCATGGAATTATAACCACAGGTTAGGATTTACAACCCATATTTTGGGAAAGTATAATTTAATTAATAACACTCCACTCTTCTTGTTGGGTACCATCAAGTCAGTTCCGACCCATAGGTATGCACAACAGAATGAAATGTCACCCTGTCCTGTGCCCCTGTACTTTACAAAACATGCCGATAGCCTTCTTCTCTAGGGACTGGTCTCTCCTGATAACATATCCAAAATTAAGTGAGACAAAATCTTGCCTTCCCTGCTTCTAAGAAGCATTCTGACTCTACTTGTGTTAGACAGGGTTCTCTAGAGAGACAAAACCAGATTGCTGATAATTTTATATATC